AAGACGGTGGCCCTAGCCCACTATTCGCACCCGTCGGGCTCGAGTGCGCGTCGCTTCCGGGGGACGCCCTGGCTTCAATTCGATATACTTTATTGGACATTTAACTCATTTTGATGACGTAGTGTTTCTCAGCTGGCTTGTCGCGCAATTTGAGGATAAGCCTAATAATTTGGGTATAGCTTAGATGGGTAGTCGACTATTATTATATGATGAGAACTCAAAATGGTTTGCCTGGCACTACCTCGATGGCATATGGGGGTACTAAAATCTCCAATTTGTGTGAGATTGCGAAGGGACAGATTTTGGCTTTGCGGACTGATGAGATGGGTTCCAGCAGCGCGATTTCAGCGCACCTCAATGTGATAGTCTGCTTTTTGGCGAGTAGCTGCTGACGAAGAGGCCAGATGACGGTGTTTAGCGAGGAATTGCTGCCGAGTGGCGTGGGTATAGCGAACGTGCCGGGAAAGGTCTGGAACTTTTTTCGTCATCTCTAGTTATTCTCTACAGAAACTTGTCCATCGTAGGCGGATAATATGTGACTTTCTCTCATTCTTGAGCTGACAAATAATGTCACATCGACAAAAAACAGCTATTTCAGCATTCAGGCTTGTCTGGAAACGCATTGTCTTAAAAATTTATTCATGAAAGTTTCATTTGTAGTGGTAGCAGTAAGTCAGTCACGATCCAGTGTTGACTATTGCCTGAAACTTCCTCCCAATCTTCAAAAAATGCATCGATACCATTACATTGCGGCCCGCCAATCCTGGAAGACACTCCAATATAAAAGGACCTTGCCCATGACTGAAAACAAAAAATGATAATTCAAAGCATGGTGTAGAACTTGCAGAGACTGTTAGATCTTCTCCTCTCGGATAATCTCCTTCATGCTCGAGCCCTCATCATTTCGTCTAACATTCGGAAAAGGTGAAAAGTGGCTGATCATGCTCAATGTCTCGCACACTTTAAAAAATTTTGATTTCTCCTAGCCCCTTTCCCCCGCCCTCCTCCCCCTTAAAAATTTTGTTCATGTTTTATTCCCGACAACAACCTGATGAACTGATAAACTAAATCAATTTCTGCAAACTTTAAGATTGTTATTATATAATAAGCAAACAATAAGGAGGTTGTACAAAATCATAGCAAATCGACTACGATGGGCCCCAAATGGAAATGTGAACAAAAGAGTGACAAAGAGAAGTAGATGCTACAGGCATTGCCAATCTAAGATACAACCAGAATTACGCTGCTTCCGAGGATTGTAGGAGGCATCTTAGATATTCTTCATCGCTTCCCTGTACAATGCCGCCTCAGCACTCATTTCTTCTTGAGAACGAGGTTGCACCGTCGCGTCCCTAAAGCTATTTCACTTGAAAGCGAATTGCCAGCAATTCGCTCTCGTAAAAACTGTGAAACTTTTGGAAAGGACGTACTTGTCATGAGTAGCTAGGTATTGGTACACATTGTCTGAGCAGCCACCAAAATCACCTTTACGACGAGCTAGCACATGCACGTGAACATGCTGAAAATATTATTTCACGGGAAAATTCAACTTCTCACGCTCGATGAGCAAGTGGAAGCTGTCGCTGGGAGCTAAATGCGGATTAACAATTTTCAAAAAAAAAATCCTCACCCTTAACTAGTCCCACCAGACCACAGCATGATCCACGAGATATGTGAAACGTTTATATCACACACTACATTATTTGAAAATTGAGAAAAGCATGAAGCTCAGTAATTGGCAGATCAGCCAGCACCTCCTGCACGCTTCGCAGATGTGCATATCGGGGTGGTTAAGTTACGTCCTAACTATGTCTACGTGGTTCTAAGGGGCAAGAAGCCATACGTCGAAAAAAAGAGGTCTTCGATCGAAGATGGCTGTGAGTTGAATGCACTTTTTACCTTACATACTGATGTGGAGGAGATTTCTTACACGAGCAACCATTTTTTTTCTCAAAGTCACAAACGATGAAGGTATTGAGCTCGATATTTTGATAAGTTTACGTTATATGAAGACCTACAATTTAGTATACGAGTTTCGGTCCAACGTTCACCCGCAGAAGATGTAAGTCGAGCAGCATGGTCTTAGTACAGACTCCTCCAAGTTTGTAAAGATATGCACTATTATGTGAGTGAATTAAAAACGCTTTGAGAGCTAACAAGCGGCTCCTTTATTAGAACTTCTTCAAAAAATGTACAGCTAACTCTATAGAGCCAAAAGTACAAAATGAACCATGCAAAAGATTTGAGGTGCACAGCAACCTTTTGAAATTTTTTAGGAGAATTGGCAAGTTGAAATCATCATATGTTAAGTTTATTTATACAATTTAGCCATTTCCAAATTGTCATTCTTTTTGCCAAAATTATAACTTAGCACTAGTGCAATCTTTGACATCATTCACAGTCTTTTATCTTACAGAAAACAAATTCATGTTGATCTTCAAAAGAATTGCTTACAAAGTTGCAAATATCGAAAATGTTCTTTTCTTGTAGTTCTCACGTTATTTCTGAGGCTTGCATTTAGTTAGGATTCTCTACAACATTAAGCTTGCGAAAGTACAGGAAGACACCTCCTCCACACAATGCGCAAAAACAATTGAGCTTTAGGTAAATTGCTCCGAAGATTAGTACATGAGAAGGCGGCCAGGGAGAGCGCGCTACGACCACCCGTTGCCCTACCAAGCAATGGACTTCAGAGAATTACCTCAACTGTTTGTCCAGCTTCAGCCCCATCCTGAACGCATACTGTAGACGAAGAAACATTGTGGAACTGAAACG